AGACCCATCTAATCTATCTTCCTTTTCTCACAGTGGCCATCCTGATGCCTGTGGGAAGCTCACAAGCAGGACTTGAGAGCCACAGTGGGATTCCCATCAACCGGGGTTCAGGGCCATGCTGCCTTCCTTGTGAAGGGAAATGGCAGAAGGGAAGGAAGACAAAGTTGAGAATGAACTTTGACCAGCAGGTGAGTCTTTCTACTTAGTGCCACTGAACTTCAACAGGAGATCATTTATGGCAATTTGGCATTTTAATGTCAGCTTATCAGCTTGTGAGGGACACGGGTGGCGCTGTGGGTAAAAGCCTCAGCGCCTAGGGCTTGCCGATCGAAAGGTCGGTGGTTCAAATCCCCGTGGCGGGTTGCGCTCCCGTTGTTCGGTCCCAGTGCCTGCCAACCTAGCAGTTCGAAAGCACCCCCGGGTGCAAGTAGATAAATAGGGACCGCTTACTAGCGGGAAGGTAAACGGCGTTTCCGTGTGCGGCTCTGGCTCGCCAGATGCAGCTTGTCACGCTAGCCACGTGACCCGGAAGTGTCTCCGGACAGCGCTGGCCCCCGGCCTCTTGAGTGAGATGGGCGCACAACCCTAGAGTCTGTCAAGACTGGCCCGTACCGGCAGGGGTACCTTTACCTTTTACCTATCAGCTTGTGAATCTCCTTAGTGTTTGATGGCTAATTCTCAAAACAGGAAGCAATAATTTTAAAGTACTGATTCATACCCAGTGTGATCAGAAACTTGATTTCTCTCAAGGTCTTTGTTCACATGCATTGGGTTATATTTGGAAAAGTGGATTGCTGCAGGGATAAATGGGTATGATTTGTTTTTCTTAGCTCCTCCAACAGAGTCCTTTAAAAAAAAAAAAAGGCAAAACAGTTGCAAACACATGGATGACAATCTCATACTGCCCGGGTTCTGAGATCTTCTGGAGAGACCCTAGAGCATCCTATTAAATTGCAGCAGCTTAGCCTATGGGAGCTCAGCAAAGCCATGCCAAGTTTCTAGCCCATTTTGTGATTATGTATGAGATGGTGTTATGGGTTGATATGCAAGTCTGCTGTTTAGTTGCTGCTTCCGCCCTTCAGTTTCCTGTATGACTAGGTATTACTGGGAAGAGAGGCATTTTCTTATTTTGCACTGAGTTTTTGCAACTGGTGTTTGTAGATTAGATCTCTTTATTAAAATTCCTTTTCCACATGTACATCTGATATTCATGCACCAAGTTGAAAGAAAACAAGCTCCTCTCTCTCTCTCTCTCTCTCTCTCTCTCTCTCTCTCTCTCTCTCATTTTCTAACTGCTAATCTTTCCTGACAAGTTGAGAGCTGTTGACTGCAAGGTGGTTTGTTGAATCAAGATTCCACACTAAAAAATTTGGCGCCGCAGCATTAGTAATTGGAGTCTGAGCAAGCCCTACAAAAGCAGGCACACCCAGATTCTCTACCCACTTACCAGCATTCTTGCCACACCCAAGAGCAGGAGAAAACTCCCAACCAAGCCTTCAAATCTTGTAGCTTTAGGAGACAGTTCACCATCTTCCCTTTTTTTAAACCCTGGAGCTATAGATCTTGATTTTCATTGAAAATGGAGTTAGGTCAGGGTGACAAATCAATAAATGCTTGAGAAAGCACTCTGGTCCTGTACGTTTTGGAAATGAGAACAGAGAATGGTTCTTATGTGCTGTAAAATGTGGCTCAGATAAAATAATACACAACAGCACCTGAGAGTAAAGCACCAGTGTTTGCTAGTTGCTGTAAATGTAGTGCTCAGGTTAGGAAATGGTCTCATACCAGGTCAGGCTCCTTGTCCATCTAGCTCAGTATTGTCAGCTCTGAGGGAAGGCAGCTCAGCTCTCCAGGCTGAGAGTCTTTTGCGTGTTTAGACCCAGAGACCTCCCCCCTAAATAAATTCACAGTTTTGGTTTTTGGCAGAATTTAGGCCACAACTTTATTGATTACAGAAGGTGAGTGGTTGCACAGGCTCTGGTTCGACTAGCTCCCTGCACCCTTGCAGGCAGCGCTGACCCAGGGCACCAGCATAGGTCAGCCAATGGTGAACACCTGTGTAGGCGAAAAGCTGGGAACAGACTATGTTCACCACCCAGATGCTCCCCTGGACTCAGGCATAGGCACAACCCCCTCTCGAGGGTTGACCAACCCAGTTGAGTCCCTGGATTCCTTTAACGGAATACCCTTCACATAGGGATGGCAAGAGCGTTCTCCCATCCCTATCACCAGAACCAGTGCCTATCCACAACCTTACAAGTTGTGACGATTTGCTACACTGCAGGCAAAACCTAAATGGCAATAGCCAATCAGCCAAGTGGGGAAATTCCTGCTGTGCCCTTGTCCCAGCGACAGACGACACATGACGGCATAGCAAGGTCAGTCGCACAATGCCCTAAAATTAGGGAGAGGTAGGTGGGTGTTCTGAATGCATGAGCTGAAAGAGGAAGCTCTGGGTCACATGCATGGGTATATATAGGTCCCTCAATCCATTTAGACTGCGCCCCATTGGCCAGATTGAACCCAACATCAAGGGACCTTCCAATCGGGTGTTGTGGCTAACCCATCCAACCCACCCACAACACAGGAGGTCCGTCTCCAGGTCTCACCACAACATGTGCCGTCTTTTAGGGAGGACATGATCTGCCTCAGAGGTGGGAACATTTACTTTATTTCTTTTATTAGAACACCAAGATACACAAGCTAAAACTATATGCAAAAGACATCCACTTAGAATTAACAGGGTGCCTCTGAGCACATTCTGAGCCTAGAAATTTGTTTTCAGTGCCAGACCTGAATTGAACATACTACTTCTTTATATATCCCCAGAGAACTAGAGGGCCGTTTGATAAGCTATTCGAAGTTCTGTTCCTATCCATGTTCTATTCCAATTGCTCATATATGGGAGGCCCTGAATTTTTTTAGAGTAGAGGTTGTTGTTGTTTGCTGGTTCTCCTCCTGTGCCTTTTTCTGTTCTGATGTGACACCCAGAAACCTAAGCAAGTACAGCTGTTTCCAGCACAAGATGGAGCAGTGGGAAAGGTTATCTTCCTATGCTTAGTTTTTGCATATCCAGCAGATGCTTAAAGGCAAAGGAGCAGTGGCAGTAAGAAGTCGTCAACCCTATTTGAAAGCAGAAAAAAGAACTGAAATGCGGGCCTTTCCCAGACACTGGCTTTTCAGAGGGTGGAGTGGGGAAAGGCCACACAGTCACCAGTAATCCCTCAGTTATCCTGCCTGATGACCTAATAGGTGCAGCTGTTATGAGGAAATATATCCCAGCAATCAGACCACAGGATGGCAGAGCGCAATGTTTTATAGGGAGAAGGCCCTGGTTTAATACCTGACACCTCGCTGCATGTACAAATGCTCTGACTGGGTATAGGTACCTTCCTAGGTTCCACAAAATGTAAATGTAATTGTTACAAAACAGCTGACCAGTGGCGGAGCAAGCTGATTGGGCGCCTGGGGTGGCGCGTGTGCCCTGTGTCCGTGGGGGCAGGGTCAGCCACCCATGGGGTGAGCCGGGGCAGGATGCTCCAAGGGGGCCTCCAAGGAGTCCGCCTGTCTCCTCCCACTCAGCAGCCTTACAGCTGAGGGGGAGGTGGCGGGCGGACCGTTTGGGGCAGCGTGGAGCCTGCAGGCGCCCAAGCCACTGTGTCCCAGGAGAGACACTTGGCTTGGGCATGCTGCAGACCCGCGGTGAGTGCCGCCCAGCATTTTGTCACCCCCCCTCAGTGGTGACACCCGGGGTGGACTGCCCCCACCGCCCCCCTTCCTCTGCCCCTGCAGCTGACCCCCTTTTTGCTCTAGAAAGCACAACTGCCCTCCATCCACACAAAAATGCTTTTGGGTTATACAGTGCTATTTTTCTAGAAAAAGAGATGCCAGAACTCACCATATTTCTCCACAGGAGAAATAAATGCACGCTGGACGCAATAGTGCTATCTGACCAACTGAATATGCAATAAGAGGCAGAGCTTTTTTTCCAAAGAGTTGTGTGCCATTAGCCTGTGTAATTCAAATGAATAAGAAATGAAATTCAGTCTAATGAATACTGAGTAAGTCACCTAAAGAAATGCACCTTTTTATTTTCACCATATCCATTGCTCTTTTCCTTGAATGAACTGGACATTTGAATGAGATTGCCAGAAAAAATGTGGCTATATATTTTATGAGCACTGTTCACATGAAATATTACTCCTAAATAAGTGAAATGTGACCCATCTCTCATTTTGGATCAAGAGTTACTTGACTCAGAGTAACCTTGTTGAGACCAAACTCCTGAGGACATAATTCCTTTTCATTTATTTCATTTTGGACCTTTCACTCAAAGGAAGAGCCTTGGATAGGGATGCACAAATCTGTCAGTTTTCTTTTCTTTCACTTTCTCATCTTCCCAGTCTTAGATTCAGTTTTCCACATTTCTGCCTCAGCTTGTGATTTTATTTTATTGAAAACGTCCCCTATCCTGAAAATTCACCAGCCTTTTTGTTCAAATTTCTCCTGTTTATACAAGCAGTTCCCCCTAATATAATGCATGTTATATGTGGTTTTTCACTAATATGTGCAATTTATTGTACCTATTCCCCTAACAGACACATTTTTGTATAATGCAGGACTGCATTTTGAGAAGTGCGACTTTAGAAGGAAAGCTGTGCCTTTGTCTGCATTCTGGAAAGTGTGAATTAATCCTAACTGCACCAAATTCCTCCATCTCTTCGGTGGTTTTAGAAAACCAATATTCTTCTGAAAAGATTTACTTTGGAGTTATGGATTCCCTTACTTATGGGTACAACAAAGCAAAACCAAACTGCTCTCTTCCTGCTGTTTTAAAAGTTACTGAAAAAATCCATAGTTCACATTGGTGAATAAACATGTGCTCATTGTCTAGGAGGTATAATGAGTTATATTGTAAATGGGTGTGTCTGTCTGAAGAGATCATTGAATCACTCCTTGTATCATTATTACTACACCCACAACAGCTTACTTCCCCAGGTGAGGCGTGTTTAAAATCGGAGATTGAAAGCACAAGAGGCCAGGTGTGGGATTCATGTTGACCCTGGCAAGCAAGAGGAGGAAAAATCCCAGGGAAGAAGCAGGTAGGTTCTACAGAGTGTGGGATTGGGAGCTGTACATTATCCCACTTGGCACAGCTTCTGTGGCACAAAGGAATTCTGTATTTTAGTTGAGAAACTGCTATTGGGCTTCTAGCAGGCTGCCGATTCGTGATTGTGGGGATTTGGTTACAAAGGTTGCATTGTTTAGTCAAGTTTTGAATCAGTTATTCTAGGATGCTTGCAACATTTCCAGAAAGGTTAAGGGGGATTTTGCTATCCAGAATGAAGCAGACAAAAATAAAAATAAAATAAAGATAAACACTGGGAATAATAGCACACGCTGCAGGTAAAAGTTGAGAAAGTAGCTTGCTTGCTGTGTCGATTGACATTTAAGAGTTATCTGTTTGCCATGTGTTTGTAGACTGATTTGTAAAAGAGAGCTTCAGAGGCAGCAAATTAGTCAGTCTCTGAAAAATAAAGTTCTCCAAAGTCCATGTGGAAATTTAGGGGTTTTTTTTTGTTCCCCAGAGAGAATAGAATGAAAGAACTCAGCTGCAGTTGATTAGTGCTTCGGAGAGAGTCTTATCTTTTATGCATTCAAAGAGGTTTTATGCAAATGCAAATAGGCAAAAGGTGAACTGAGAAGAAGCTATTATATCCCTAAGCTAAATAGGGCACCTTTGAAATAGCCACATTTTAGAATCAGTCTCTCACACAAGCAAGCTGGGCAGTGAATATTAGGCTATGCATAACTTTGGCCTAGTTTTGCATAGGATGCACAGAAATGCAGATGTGAGCCATATGAATTGCACTGTCAGTCTTATATTAGATGTATGTCAAAGTGCAACTGAATGCACAGTCAGCATTACAGAAAACTTTTATTACTGATCCTATTGTTCCATTTGCATCTTCAGCGTTAGGAATGAGCTGTGTCCCATAAATCATTGTTTCTGATTTTAAAGGGGGTTAATGCTGATACGTTCCCAGGCAGCTGACAGTTTTTCCATGACACTGCATTTCCCCAGTCACTGCCATGAAGAAGGCATTTGTGTTATATATATGTGTCTGTCTGTCTATCTGTCTATCAAGTGTTTTTTTCTGAAAAAATGTTTAGGGGTACTCTCATTTTCCTACTCATATTGAAATACTGCCCCTCAATGAGGCCAAACCTAGACCCACAAGATGTTTAGGGGTATCCGTCCACCCCCAGAAAAAAGCACTCTATCTATCTATCTATCTATCTATCTATCTATCTATCTTGCACAAAGCTGTCACCACCACTGAAGGGACTAGATAGCGGTCTTGGCTAGAGGCCTGTGTGACAATGTGCATTTTATCCCTTCCATCTGCTTCCTTCTGCATTGGGTTTGCACTTCTTTACATTGCAGAAGCAACCACAGTGAAATGGCATAATTGCAAACCAGTGGTGCAAAGCTGGTAATCAGAGATAAGTTAATGGGTTGAGGGATTGTCCTTTTCTGTGTCTTCATCTGTGCCACTGAATTTATGCTTTACATTCATTTCAGGTGAATTTTTAGTGTTGCGAAATCTCAGCATCATGTGGATATTTCTTTTTTTTCTGGGTAAGTGTTGGCATTCTAAGCATGCATTTACCAAAAAGAAAATGAAGTCTTTGAGATTTGTTTTTCGTGAGAAGCACAGAGGTAAAATCAGTTGTCCAAGATGGTTGGATATAATCTCTAACTGAAACTGGTTAAAAATTGTATGCATTCTACTAAAGACCACTCACAATAAGTACTTGGTGTTAAGATAGAGACAGCCTCATCTTTGGTATCTGCCAAAATCAAAATATGCTACTGAGTAGTAGGCTGGGGCAGAAATTATAGATGTACTGCGGTAGCAGACTGTGTAGCAGGGCAGAGGCGCTTACCAGACCTCCTGGCAGGTGAGTCGCTGCTGCTTACCAGGAGGGGGACGCGGGTGGTGCTGTGGTCTAAACCACTGAGCCACTTGGGCTTGCCGATCAGAAGGTCGGAGGTTCGATTCCCCGCAGCGAGATGAGCTCCTGTTGCTCTGTCCTGCCAACCTAGCAGTTTGAAAGCATGCCAGTGCAAGTAGATAAATAGGTACTGCTGCAGCGGGAAGGTAGACGGTGATTCCGTGTGCTCTGGTTTCCACCAGTGTTCTGTTGTGCCAGAAGTGGTTTAGTCATGCTGGCCACATGACCTGGGAAGCTGTCTGTGGACAAACACCAGCTCCCTTGGCCAGAAAGCTAGATGAGCGCCACAACCCCATAGTCGCCTTTGACTGGACTTAACCGTCCAGGGGTCCTGTACCCTTTACCTTTCATTTACCAGGAGGGGAAAGGGGGCTGTGAGGTTGCTGTGGTGAAAACACGCAGGAGAACACGTAGTCTTAGCGGAGGGATAGCTCAGTTGGTAGAGCATGAGACTATTAATCTCAGGGCCATGGATTCAAGTGAAATATTCCTGTATTGCAGGGGTTGGACTAGATGAACCTGAGGATCCCTTCCAATGCCACAATTCTATGAATCTATGAATGATCAGCATATTACTCGTATCAGTTAAAAAGATCGGTGGCTGTTTGACATAATAGCATAAATAGTGCTTTTGAGTATTTAAGGTAGATACATTATCTCAGTAATCCTTACAACAACCCTTTAAGGTGGGTCAGTATTGAAGAGACCTGTACATATTGCAGATGAGGGGCAAATGTGCCCAGTCCTGTACATGTCTAATCAGAAGTAAGCCCTGTTTAGTCAACTGGGGCTTACTCCCAGGATGGGCGTCTGAGTGACCACCTTGATGCCATTGAGTCCACAGCAGGAAGTGAGATTTCACATAATTGCTTCTAATTTCTAGTTACCGGTAATTCACAACCATACTACACCAGCTGTTACGTTATCACTGACGGCTTCTGGGAAACCAGCAGGTTTTACGTTGCTATGATGATTTTTTAATCTCCTTTTGTCTTTATTAACTGAAATTTGGTTCTTGTTTCATTCTAGCTTCACCACACCTCCTGGCTGCCCAGTCTACCTGCTCACATGGGGCTTGTTACCCACCTGTGCAAGACCTTCTGGTAGGAAGAATCCATCACTTGAAAGCCTCTTCTACCTGTGGACTTGTCCAACCGGAAACTTACTGCACTCCATATGGGGAAGTACGTATGGCATAAGTAGCTTTTATTCGCACAGGAAAGGTACATTGGCTGTCATTTCGTGTTCGCCACTGAACAGAAATTGCAGTATTTAAACACTAAGGGGCCTCCTCAACTTCCCAGAATATGCAATGCCTGGTTGCAGAGAAGTATCAGAATTTTAATCAGGCTTAAAGGCAAGGAGTAAAAACGTTAGATATTTCCCATAGGATTCAGTTCTCCTCCATAACACATCCAACAGGGGCCAAGTTACATGTTGCAACAAGCAATAATGTTCTGTATGCCTTTTCTGCTTTGATTGGTGCCCTTATTTGGTCAGTCCCTATGTGCCTCAGCATCAGGGGAAATTTAGGCTCCTCATGTTAACTGTATTCATATCTTTTTGTTTGTTTGTTTTGCCCTTGCTCATTGAATGTCAGAGACATTCAGTTTTTACCTGTAGGAGTTTCTTGATTTAGGGCCTATGAGCACAGAGGTGGTTTTTCGCAAAAATAATAATTACGTAATTTATATCCTGCACATTCCAAATAAATTTATGTTCTCAGGATACCCAACAGAGTTGTAATTTAAAAATAAATAAACAATGTGTGCAAACAGATTTAGCAAATGGAAACTAAAATGGCTCATTCAAGGAGATAGTATCAAGCAGGTCTGAGTTAAAGAATGCTTACATTAGCAGTTCTGGAAAGCCTGGGAAATTAGAAATGTTTTCCCATGGCACTTGAATGATAGCAGTGAGGTCTTTAGGTGGGCTTTCTTTGAAAAGGGCGTTATAATAGCACTCTCTCCGGTCGCCACAAACAAAAATTCAGATGGCAGGTGATGGTCTCATCAAGACATAGGATTTCTGCTAGGGAAAAAAATGGCAACCCTATCAGTATCTTTATTGATGCCTCACTGTGTCAACTTCAGCAGTTAAAAGAGCTAATCCATTAAACATTGGTCAGTTTACATCTCTCTCTATCTATCTATCTATCTATCTATCTATCTATCTATCTATCATCTATCTATCTATCTATCTATTATCTATCTATCTATCTATCTATCTATCTATCTATCTATCTATCATCTATCTCTATCTATCTATCATCTATCTATCTATCTATCTATCTATCATCTATCTATCTATCTATCTATCTATCTATCTATCTATCTATCTATCATCTATCTATCTATCTATCTATCTATCTATCTATCATCTCTATCATCTATCATCTATCATCTATCTATTTATCATCACCTATCTCTTCCCTTTTCCTGAGGTGGGTGGAGCTGGAGCTATTGGAGTCTTGGTGTCTCACTTTCTAAGCAGCCAGTTTCTGTTGATTTTCTATTAATCTGCCACTGAAGAAGTCTGTGTGTGCATTCTTAAGAGTCCAACAGATCATCATGGGTGGATCACACGGGGCTGGTTCACATGTGACAGCTATGCAGTGGGACATTGGAAGGCACCTTGAAATCATACAATGGCTCGCAGTTAATGAGAACCCAAGCCTCTGTAAGTCTCTACATGTGCAGGGGCTACATGCATTTTTATGGTGGGTGGGCTTCATAAAAAGGAACTAATTACATTGTTGTTTCTAGAAAAAAGCCCCAGTTTTCATTAAATGCTAGAGTATGGTAGGGTAAAACTTGTAAGTCTAAAGCTTGTTCCTGTGCCCCACGACATGGATAAATTATGTACTAGGGCCCTGTGTAAATAAGGCCATGCATTTGTGGAGTCTTGCACCTTGAGAAAATCAGATGATCTCACCAAGGCTATAAAACCTTTACCTGTGTTTAGGGGCTGTCCATTGTATTCCCCTGCCACCACTGTTATTCCATGTCACCAGCTAACCCAATAATTCTCTTACCTTTTATTTTGATTAAGTGCCAAACAAGTGGACAAAATGTTATTGGTGGAAAATGAAACTGTGTTGATAGCAACTCTAGTGTTTTCTCTGAGCATGTATTGGCTCACAGGGATATATGGTTAAAAATGGATACAACAGGAAGGCAGAGTTATGAGGTGTTTCTAAGGAGGCCTGAATCAAATGTTGCGGTCATGGCCCATCTGTGGCTGAGAAGGCAAACTTGTTTTACCTTTGTGCATGAGAAGATTTTTTGTGCAGTAATACCCAGGTAGTTTACAAGGAATTTGATCACCACGGCGCAGCTGACCTGCATTTTAGCAGGTCAGTATTGCGCTCAGGGCCGGATGTAGGTTTGATGAGGTCCTAAGCTACTGAAGATAATGGGGCCCTTTATATGTCCAGCTGTCCTTTGTCAACAACAAATTGTCGCTGTTTTTTGTGTTGAATATATGATATATGGTACCCTATATATAGAAATGAGTAAACCAGTGATATTTTAGGGAGCAGGCTAGCAGGCGGAACCCATTACTTACATCATAGGGGCCTATACAACACAAAACACTGTTGCTGTATGTAGGTTTTATTTTATTTGTTTTTTATCTTTGATTTTGGAAATGTGCATCCAGTTTTTTCCCCTTTAAATTTTTTTGGGGCCCCCAAGAGAGTGGGGCCCTAAGCTATAGCTTGTTTAGTTTATATGTAAATCTGGCACTGATTGTGCTCATGTTCAGCACTAAAGATGACTCATAATAGGAACTGTCTGGATGTTACCTTCAAATTTGGTCTCCCAAACACACACACTTTTCTGTGCTCTCAGTGAAGAAAAATACAGTGGTACCTCAGGTTACATATGCTTCAGGTTACAGACTCCGCTAACCCAGAAATAGTACCTTGGGTTAAGAACTTTGCTTCAGGATGAGAACAGAAATCATTAGCTAAAGTGGTGCTTGAGGTTAAGAACAGTTTCAGGTTAAGAACGGACCTCTGGAATGAATTAAGTACTTGACTCCAAGGTACGACTGTAGATCAATAGGAGAGAAGCCACTTTTTCCATGAAATGAAGAATCCCACCAGGTACATTTCCACTTTGCATGCAAAATGATGCCCCCTGGATTTGAGAGGACTGGGACATGGCAACCGTCTTCCGACTTGGCATGCACCAGCCACTTGCTCTGTATCAGCTCTGCAGCTTAATAGGTCAGTGCTGTGAAGACAAAGTGGCAACAGTTTCATCATCCATCTGCCCTTCCTCCTTGTTTTGGGCCCCAAGCTTCCTGGTGTACTGTTAATGAGGCTGTGTATCACGTTCCTCACTTTTGTGCCAAACGGTGGAAAAGTTTTAAAGTCCTTTTTTTTTTTGCAACCTCTGCACAGGGTATGGGAGGAGGGGCTGCATTCGCTTGCTTGCTTTCCTCACACTCTGCCCTGCTGGCCAATGTGCACTGTCTGAGTCTGGTGCCAATCAGAGAAGTGTCCCAAAGTGTGTGTTTTGTGTCCCAGAGTCTTTTGCAATCCTGGTAAGTTCCGTGCTGATGGAAGCACTCCAATCCCGAGCCTCTCGTCTGCTGCCTTTGCTTTGGCTGTCATTCCCTCTAACCTTTATACTTTGTACCCCCACAGAGGCAGCCTCTCACCCAGGACTAGGCAAAGTGCAGCCTCCACTTCCACAATTGCAAATTATGCAAAAGGGGGCATTAATCCTGATCAGTGATTTGGAGGTGCTTGACCTCAGACTCTGGCTTGCCAAGAGATAAATCTTGGGTCCTATTAGAATCCTACATTAGTTTCCATCTCTTTCTCATTCTGGGTCAATAAAAACGTGTTGCCAAGGTTGCCACTGGCAAGGCTGCTATGCATTTAACAGCCATGGGACAGGCAGAGCTTTAACTGGTGATGTTTTTTCTAGCACACAGAGTCATGAGGAGCTGTTCTTCAGTTGAAATTCTGTCTGTTTTGCTCCTTAATTAAGGAAAAAACCCTTTTAACTGCACTTTTTAACAAAGGTTTTTAAAGCAGTTTCTAATCTTAGAGAGTAGTAAGTAAAGGTAAAGGTACCCCTGCCCGTACGGGCCAGTCTTGACAGACTCTAGGGTTGTGCGCCCATCTCACTCAAGAGGCCAGGGGCCAGCGCTGTCCGGAGACACTTCCGGGTCACGTGGCCAGCGTGACGAAGCTGCTCTGGCGAGCCAGCACCAGCGCAGCACACGGAAACGCTGTTTACCTTCCCGCTATAAAGCGGTACCTATTTATCTACTTGCACTTAGGGGTGCTTTCGAACTGCTAGGTGGGCAGGAGCTGGGACCGAAAGACGGGAGCTCACCCCGCCGCGGGGATTCAAACCGCCGACCATGTGATCGGCAAGACCTAGGCGCTGAGGCTTTTACCCACAGCGCCACCCGCGTCCCCCTTAGAGAGTAGTAAAAACCAGTCAAACATCCAGTTTAAACAGTAGCTGGCTATAACTTAAATTGAATTTGTTTTTATTGCGTATTATGTGTTAAATTGTTGTGACTCATCCCAATGCAATAAGGAGTGGGATAAAAATCTCCCTTATTTTATCTTCACAACAACCCTGTGAGGTAGATTTTAGGCTGAGAAATACCAGCTGGCACAGGGGCATTCAGTGTGGATTGTGGCTGAACAGGGATTTGAACACAGGTCTCCTCAGTCTCCACTCAGCACTCTAACTACTTAGGGTTAGGGTTAAAGGGATGAGAGCCCTCCCAGAAAAAAGTGGCAGCTCTGGGGGCAGATTATCGAGCTGACTGAAATCATATAATTAACCTCCTTCTGGTACCTGCTGTAATGGTGCCTCTGTAATAGGCATGGTGCCTCTGATTGTCTTTCAAATAGTGGTGGGAGCATTAAAATATTACAGTATGATAGGATTTTGGATAGTTTCAGCGGCAGGGAGGGAAAACAGCTAAGAGGCTGGTTGAAATATTCCATTTTCAATCTTTATGTGAAGTGCCTTCCACAGTTCCAGTTTTTTATGGTGAGGCAGATAATCTTGGAGGCTTATACATGAACTCGCCAGTCTAACTTTCCTCAGTGTTTATTATATGAGAGGCCTTGGTTATTAAGACTGCTGTTTGCATTAGGTCAAGGACATCAGACTCTCTCACCATTATCTTGCCTGGCAGTGAGGGG